AAAAATCTTCCAAAGGGGTAATCTATTCTGGGGACAGCTTTGTTGAAATTTTCTCCTGTTGTAGTAAATGTTTCTAGGATAGGATTTGAAGGAAAAACTCCCAAACAGGACACATACTGCAAAAAATAAACTAACAGAGATTTTAACCATCTCCTGTTCTAGCCAAAAAGTTTTGACTACAAACATTTTACCAATTGTCCACATAATTTATTGAAATTTTCAAAGCAAGTTTATTAGGTTTCTTGGGAACATTTGTACGTGACATGCAGGTGCAATATAGCATAGCTTTCAATGAACAAATGAAGAGCACCATATCAAAGCAAATGTAAGCACAATACATTTCACAATAAGACATTGTCACCGTAACTGCACCTTATAGGTTCAAGTCACCTGCAAGAAGGTTAAATAATCTGAGATAGAGGGATCAATTTACTGATAGTTATTGCATGCAATATATGTTTTCTTTAAAATATTGCATGCAATAATAAAATAACCAAATTGTTAAAATAAAATATTGAATTTGCAATAAATATTGCAAAGTCTGTAAATAATGCAAAAATGATTGCCATATTTTTATCTAAGTAAGTTCACAAAAAAAACCCAAATCCCTATTTATCTAATGGTAGTCAGTATTTGCCAAATGTACAAAATAATTATGAAGGAAAGTCTGCACTAAAAGTAAACCAATGTACCAGTGTAAAAAGTGTATGAATTTTACCTTGTTTTAAGATTACATGACAGTTTAAAGCAAAAAAAAACAAAAAAAGTGTTGGGCCTTCCCCTTCAGGTCTGGTATATACAGTATTTTAAGGGGGGTATCACAAAAAAACAAAACCATGGTGTAGGGTTTCACAAAATTTTTATATCAGACCTGAACACTATGCAAAAACATGACAAAAAAGATGGGATCTCCCAAAATCCATACCAGACCCTTATTAGAGCATACAGCCAGGCTGGCTGGGACTAAATAACTATACAAGGTCACATGCCCTTAACATGGGTTCTACCATGGCAAAGCACCTTGCTCTCATGTTCTAATCTATACCACCCGGTCGCAATGATTGTGTGAGTCTGTGGGTAGGGGGCCCATCAGAATCTGAAAGCTCTCTAGGTACTGCTCCTCACAAAAATAAAATGAGGTAAATAGACTAAACTAAGTGTTAAATAAGGCACACACACCTGCCCCCCTCCCCCAAAAAAAACAAGAAGCCAAGGCATGCGTTGAATAACACATGTTTTTCATTGAAATGACTACTATCAAGATATTGTAAATACCAATTTACTGAACAACTGCATGAGATATTTATCTGTTAGTGAATTGACCCCGGAATGCCAAATTGTGTTTTATTACACTATGTAATCCCTCTAGTATTATGATTTTGTATATTACTGATGTATATATTTGTACAAGTGAAAAAGTAAGGGATTTCTGGAATAAAGCGAACATTCCATATGATGAAGAAAATTGTAATGTTCCCACTCTTCAAATAAATGTATAGCTTACATATTCTCTGTCATTGTTAAAAAATTTCAGGAATATTTAACCACCTTAGCACTGTAGCCTTTTCCCTTACAGAACTAGAATATATTTTTGTAGTTAGTGGGTCTGCTGGTACAAAGATACCTTTTTGAACTTGCATACAATGGCCAGTCAACTGACACGCAAACATTGTAACCACCCTCCTTAAACTGATTCTGCTACAGGCAAGAATCAGCATCAGTTGACACTTAAATGTTCATCATATGCTAGGGAGCATGTGCAGGCTCCTGGCACTTGTCACACGACCACTATCTGCCATACTGGAAGCAAAGGGGGTGGAGCCAAGGTGTCACCTGGTGGTCAGAGGAAATTGCCGCATGGGACCAACCAAGTTCCACAGCGGTGGTACCACACCGAGCAACAGAGGCACTGTGGCAGGTCACACAATAGCGTGGAGAAATCCTGGGGATGCGGCTGGTACAATTTTTTTTTTCTGTGCTAGTTGTTATTTGAATGACAGATCTTTATTACTTACCTTTATCTTCCTGATGAAGCCTATCATGAAACATATTGAAGATAAATTACCATCTATACCATGTAGATTTAACGTATATTGTACAATGATCTCAGAGCGAGTGTGAAAGAGGGTCCTAGTTGATGGAGAGTGTGATAAGGCTGAAGCATTATGTGTGGAACTGCATATGGGGGTGCGTATTACAAAGGTAATCATTGGAGCTTGTTATATGCCTCCCAGAGTTAATGAGGAGGTGGAGACTTCACTTCTTGCACAGATCAAAAGGGCTGGGACAGTGATAATAATGGGGGATTTTAACTACCCGGAAATTGACTGGAGTAATGGTACTGCAGGAACAGTTAAAGAGCAAACATTTTTAAACCTACTACAGGGACAATTTTATGGTACAGTTCATAGAAGCCCCAACTAGGAATGATGCTCTGCTAGACCTGGTATTGTCAAACCATGCAGAGCTTATTACGAATGTCCATATAAAAGAACATCTGGGTAGCAGTGACCATAACATGATTTCATTTATTGTTAGCTGTAAACAGTAAGCACATATGGGAAAAATAAAAACGCACAATTTTAAGACAGCTAATTTTCCAAGGCTGAGCGCTGCTCTCCAAGACTTAGACTGGAAGGGAATATTGAGATCAATGAACACAACACAGAAAAGAATATAACAGAATATGCAAAAAGGAAATAAATGCCGCAAAATTGAAAAATGAACAACAGATTGCAAAAGATAGCAGGACCAACCCCCAAATAGTCTTCAATTATATTAATAGTAAAAAGGTCCGGTCCGAGCATGTAGGCCCTTTACAAAATAATCTAGAGTGGGTGACTGGGGACAAAGAGAAGACAAATTTATTAAATACCTTCTTCAGCTCTGTGTGTACAAAGGAGCATGGAGGAGCTCTTGTTCATAATGGGCATGGTATTGACACAGCTCCAGATGATCCACATTGGCTCACAATTGATATGATCCAAAAATATTTAGACAGAATAAAGCATCTGGACTGGATGGCATACACCCACGGGTCCTTAAAGAATTGAGCTCTGTCATTTCAAAGCCATTGTTTCTAATTTTTAGGGACTCTTTAATGACTGGCATAGTACCACTGGATTGGCGTAAGGCCAATGTGGTGCCAATATTTAAAAAGGGGTCAAAATCTTTACCAAGTAATTACAGACCTGTTAGTTTAACTTCTATAGATGGGAAGATATTGGAGAGTTTAATAAAAGACCACATAGATGAGTTCTTGCTGGAAAAAATATTTTAAGCAACAGACAGCATGGATTCATGAAAGACAGACGTTGTCAAACAAATCTGATATCTTTTTATGAGGGGGTGAGCAAAACCTTGGACAGAGGGGTGGCGGTGGATGTGGTATACTTGGAGTTTGCAAAAACTTTTGACACAGTTCCCCACACACGGCTAATGTGTAAGGTAAAGTCTACAAGCTTGGAAAAATGCGTATGTAAATGGATAGAAAACTGGCTAAAAGATCGTATTCAGAGAGTAGTGGTTAATGATTCATACTCTGAATGGTCTGGGGTTGTCAGTGGTGTACCCCAAGGTTCAGTGTTGGGACCCTTACTTTTTAATATATTTATGAACAATATAGGTTCTTGGATTAAAAATCCCATTTCAGTCTTTGCAGATGACACCAAGCTATGCATTGGAATAACGTCCTTACAGGACGTCTTCAATTTACAAGCCAACCTCAATGCACTGCAACTATGTGGCAAATTAGGTTTAATGTTGATAAATGTAAGGTTATACACTTGAGGGCTAAGAATATGCATGCATCATACATACTAGGGGGGGGGGGGTACAACTGGGGGAATCAATGGTGCAGAAGGATCTGGGAGTTTTGGTAGATCACAAGCTTAATAATGGCATGCAATGCTAAGCTGCAGTTTCTAAAGCGAGCAAAATCCTCTTTTGTATTAAAAAAGGTATAGATACACAGAATATAACTGGATACTAACATTTATAAGTTGATCCAGGAAATATCCGATTGCCTTTCATGGAATCAGGAAGGAACTTTTTCCCCTGCAGGAGCAAATTGGGTCATGCTTTGGTGGGGGGGGGGGGGGGGGGGGGTTTGCCTTCCTCTGGATCAACTGTGGGTGTAGGATTATAACTTTTCTTTTTTTTTTTAAAGGTTGAGCTAGATGGACTTTTGTCTTTTTTCAGCCAGACTAACTATGTATGTTTGCTAAAGGCTTTAACCTACTTAAATAACAACATACATATGTAATGTGATATGGCTGTATAAGATGGTACAGACCTGTAATAGGATATGTTGGTGACATATTTAAATCCTTGGTGCCACCTTTTTCATACTCTTTCAATAAAGAGGTATTTTAATTTAACTTTAATGGCATCCCAGTCTTAGTCCGTAGGGTTCAGTATTAAGTTAAAAATGTACCTGTTCCTACTTACATACAAATTCAACTCAAGTACAAACCTACAGAACCTATCTTGTTCGTAACTCGGGGACTGATTTTAAATATATATATATATATTACATTTGAAGAAGTGAATGCTGATTCACGAAAGGCGTTGAGATTCTGTGCAGAGAGCGTGTGTTATGTAACTCTTGCATTCTTACTTGTATATACTGTACACTATAAGCTTGATGTATTCTGTATATTGCTTTTTTGGAATGTTTTTAATGTCTTTTTTTTTTTTTTTAATTAAAAAAAGTGGGGATTTTTTTTAAATATAATTTGTGTGCCTCGCAAAGTCCCTTGGCCAGTCAGTCTTCTTTTCATTATATAATTTATTTGTCCTATTTGATGGCACCTTAAAAGTCATTGGGAATGTGGTGCCAGGTGATCTCAAATCACTCCTTTTCTTTTGGTAATGCCATAACCTCTATGTACATAGATACTCAATATGTATGTAATAATATATATAAATGTTTCTTTTAGGACTTCATCATGGGAGCACAGAATTCAAAGCCTGTACACAAGAAACAATCACGAGTGGTGATGATGGGACTTGACTTTTCTGGAAAATCCACAATTTTATATAAACTTAAACTAAATCAGACAGTAGAGACCTTTCCAACAGTTGGGTTCAATGTGGAGTCCCTGGAAGTAGCTAAAAATGTTTTTATCACTGTATGGGATGTAGGAGGTCAAGACAAGCTGCGCCCCAACTGGAAAGAGTACCTGGAGGACACGGATGTTCTCATCTATGTGGTGGACAGCAGTGACAAGGCCAGGATTCCAGACGCCACTCTAGAATTGCTGACTGTGTTGGACAATGTAAATATGGCTAGAGTTCCTTTCTTGGTTTTGGCTAACAAACAGGATGTACCTGATGCTCTGTCCACTGAAGAGCTTATGAACACACTTAAACTGGAAAATTATACGATCGACCCTGGGAAATACAAGGCTGCAGCGCATACACTGGAGAAGGCTTGATTGAGGCAGTTCATGCAGTTTTACGTCTTTTAAAAAAAACCCGTGACCCATAAGTGCCTATGAATTCTGTTCTAGGATCCTAAAAAATTGGTTTTTACAAAGGACAAATTATTCAATTGTTGTTTTACATGTCAGCCTGTTCCATTTATTATAAATTATTATTCATTAACATTTCATCGACTAGTGAAAAGACACCTGTGGACGGATGTTGGTCATTTATTAGGTATCAATATATTTACAGATTATCAGATCCCCAAGGGGATGTCTTTCCTACCATATCAGGTTATAAGTGTCATAATGATCTGGGAATATGTATATGAGCACTGGGCAACAGATTTTCTTGTTTCTACACATCTGAAAGATTAACAAGGGCTATTAAAGCTGAACTCCAGGCACATATGAAAACACCATTTAAAGTGGAACTAAAGTTTAGAAAAAATGCTAGCAGGTACTTTTATGTCTCTTCTGCCCAAAAAAACTCCTTTGCCGTTGTGTGTTTTTCTTTTGTACTGTGCTTTAGGACAATAAAATATGAAGCGTAGTCACTGGGTGGCTGGATAGTGTCATTTCAGCGTGCATGCACAGACATTTACCCTGCTAGCATTTGTTTCCTAATTGTACACCATCGTCCACACATGTGCAGCTTAGAGTACAATCTTGGATGCCAGAGCGAAATAACTCTCGTGTGCATACGCAGGAGTTCCGTCATCTCTGGGCGGCCAATCATGATATCTGAAGAAAGCCAAAACCATAAGTCCAGCACAATATGTGAGCGTTAATGAGGGGGAGCTGCAGCCATCACATCACTGAAGGAGAACACTTTGAAAGGTAAGTGTGCCATAATGTGCAAATATGCTATGCATGCATACACATTATGACAAAAGTCCTAGGGGCAGAAAATCATTTAGTTCCACTATAAAAATAATTACATTTCTTTTTACAAACAAGCAAAGTACCTGCATCTTAACCCCTTTAAGACTGCCCAACACATATGTTCGGTGGCAAAAGGGTAGGCATTAATGCCCACACACTGCACATATGCACCCCTAAGTGGAAGATATTTATGTGCTGAGAACATGCTCACAGCATAAAGACCGAGCTGTCAAAGACAGCTCGGTCCAAGGTAAAGATTGGTAGCCAGTAGGACAGGATTCCAATCAAGTGACCACTGTCACAGTGGTCACATGATAGTCTATCCTTCCTGCCCCTGGGCTTTCTGAAATATTTAGAGACACCAGGGCAGGCAGGAAGGGGTTAATATCTGCATCGTGTCACCCCTACACAGCAGCAGTCAGGGAAACACAGGAGGAGCCTGATAGACTTTGCTATATACACATGTGCTGACAGGAAGCATACTGACAGGAGGAGTAAGCCAGGCTGCAGTCAATGACACTACTGAATTTCTTTAAGTGTAACTTAGAAAGTGGTGTCACCCTCCTGGCTGTCCTTCAAGCAGAAGTATGTGAATCAGAAAAGTGACTGATTAGGATTACAAATCTTTTTTTCTGCAGGTGATACAATTCACATGAGTGTGTTTCAAGTGTATTTACCTGTTTCCCTGGAGTTCTGCTTTAATATCGATATTACACATCTGGCTATAAATATAAATGTACTGTATTACAGTCTTGCACTACTTAAAGCAGAACTAAACTCAATCAATATTAACTATGTTTAATCCCTGTGCTGCTAGCATTCGTAAATAGATAGGAAGGTAGATTGTAGTTAATAGTTTTAAACTTTTTTATTTTACATTTTTTTTTCAGTTACTTCCTGGTTTCTGGCCTAGCTCAAAATGATGTCATACATCCCAGGAGTCTTTGTGGGCCTTTTCTTTTATCTGGAGGAAGGGAGGAAGGGCTTTCTCAGCTAAGCACGCTCTCCTGCCTGCATGTCTGAGCTAAGCGCAGATGGATTCCAGGAAGTAAATGCTACATGAATCATCTGCCTTTACTCAAGATGGCCATGGTCAGAAATGCTAGGGGGGGGGGGGGGGAGTTTCTTAGTGATTTCTCAACAAAATAAAGCATGGAGACATGGATGGATGGGGGAGTTTGCTGTAAATATTAAAAATGAATTAAATAGCATTTTCGGTTTGTGGTGCTTTAACTAAATAATGGACAGAGACCCTGCTGGTTATTGCATTAGTGTTGCAGTCATACTTCAAACAGTAAAATAAATACAACAGCTTCAGAAAACTGAAACCTGTTATATGCTGACAATGCTTTTGTGTTTTTCTGACCACTCTTTTACCTTAGGCGTGCTACCTACTCCAAAACAAACTTTACCCAAGTGTACAGGGCGTACATACTGTAGCACGCAATGAGTTTCGATCTGCAGTGATGTCAGTTAAAGTAACCTTACAAATATAAAAAAGGTTAACCCTTAGTTAACCCTAATTCGTTATAAATAACTCCATCCCCCTTAGCTATTTGTTTTATGTTAGTTTTCTATTTATTTCTTTTTTTAACCCTTAAACCATTGATATTTTAGGTGTTTTTGAAACTTTTTTTGTTTGTTAATTTTTTTGTGTCATTAAAAAAATGCACAAAATCTAAAAAAGTAACCTTCATGTAATTTGTAACTGTTTTTGTCATGCTTTGAACTAGAAACAGAATTTTAGTAGTATTATAAACAGCACATATTTTTGGCTATAGATTGGATAGAAAATAAAATAATTTTTGCAAGATGATGTCACCTAAAGTCATCCTTGTATGTCCTTAAAAAAATCTCCTTTCATGTTGTGAGTTCTGTCTGTCTACTTGCCATCTCTTTCAACAACTTTGTGGATTCCCTCCATGCTTTGCTACTTCTCCACTGCCATTTACTTCCAATTTCTAAAGACTACATATCCCATGGTACCTTGCTGCTTGCAAACAGTGATTCCTGTACTCACTCCTGGAATTCCTCCTCTCAGCACCTCTGTAGTTCAGAAGGCAGGCTCTGTGAAATGTGTGATCAGGGGCGGACTGACAACTCATGGGGCCCCCGGACAGTAGGGGATCATGGGGGATTTTGACCAAAATTTATGAAGAAATATAATTTTTAAAATTTTTACTGGATTTGTTTTGTAGCAGAAAGTAAAAAATATTGTTTTTTTTTTTTTTTCCAAACTTTTGGTGTGTTTTAGTTTATATCGCAAAACATTTAAAATCTAGTGGTCATCAAATACACCATAAGAAAGCTCTATTTGTGTGAAACAAATGTTATAACTTTTGTTTGGGTACAGCATTGCATGACCGCACAATTACAAGTTAAAGTAGTTCAGTGCTAAATAGCAAAACAAATGGCCTGGTCATGAAGGGGATAAAATCTACTGGAGCTCAAGTAGATAAACAGGCCCTTAGAAGAAATGCAAAACTGCTCTGGGCCATGGGGGTATATAGAGGCTGAAAGAGTTAAAAGATCATTTCATTATACAGTAAGTAATTTCTCAGTGGATGTGTGCAGGTACAGTGTAAATATTTGTATATTCTATGCCCATTATCTATAAATGATAAAATAGTGAATCGCTCAGAGAAACTCCAAACTATAATTCAAAATCACACTAATGCCTGTGACATGCGTTTACATATGTAATGACAATATATTGTTTCATAACACCACCATATATGAAACAATATATCCAAATTTCCTAGTGCAATAGTGGTATCACACATCAGAGCGCACCAAAATGCCTGCACACAAGTGTGAATGGGCCCTTACAGAGATCTAGTAAGTTGCACTGACCTCCTTCCCAAAGGCTTGCACCCTGTCTTGGGTACCAGAGGTGCAGAAGAACCCAGCTTCCATTAGCATTATGTAACAGTGTATTCTGGGAGATACTTCTGAAACACTCACCTAAGGCTAAAGGCCTGTACACATGATAAGAAGATAGGAGGAAAATTTCCGTAAGAGGAACAATTGGTCGATCTGTTCATTAGTATATAGTTACATAGTTAGTCTGGCTGAAAAAAAGACAAAAGTCCATCCAGTTCAACCATAGAAAAAAAAAAAGTTATAATCCTATACCCACAGTTGATCCAGAGGAAGGCAAAAAAAAAACCAGCAAAGCATGATCCAATTTGTTCCTGCAGGGGAAATATTCCTTCCTGATCCCCTGAGAGGCAATCTGAAATTCCCTGGATCAACTTTACCTATAAATGTTAGTATCCAGTTATATTCTGTGTATCGAAGAAACAATCCAGGCCTTTTTTAACGCAATCCACTGAGCTGGCCAGAACCAACTCTTGCGGGAATCTATTCCACATTTTCACAGCTCTCACTGTGAAGAAACCTTTCCATGTTTGGATATTAAATTGCTTTTCCTCCAGACGTAAAGAGTGCCCCCTTGTCCTCTGTGATGACCTCAGGGTGAATAACTCTACACCGAGTTCACTATATGAACCACTGATGTATTTATACATGTTGATCATATCCCCCCTTAATCTCCTCTTCTCAAGAGGGAATAAATTCAGTTCCTCTAATCTTTCCTCATAGCTGATCTCCTCCATGCCTCTTATCAGTTTGGTTGCCCTTCTCTGTACTTTGTCCAGTTCCCCAATGTTCTTTTTGTGAATTGGTGCCCAAAACTGAACTGCATATTCCAGATGAGGTATTACTAATGATTTGTACTGGGGTAATATGATATCTCTCTCTCTGGAGTCTATACCTCTTTTAATACAAGAGAGTGCTTTTGATGGCTAACTACAACTATTCGGATGACAAAAATCAAAGGTGCAAGTTGAACATTTTTATCATATGTGAACACAACGTCCAATTTTCGTTCAATGTGTGCAGTAATCATATGGAAATGTTCAAACAGAAAAAGACACTCATGATCAAGAGCAAAGGATAACCCTACACTTCCTCTTCTGCTACAATAGTACGTAACTACGTTTGCCTACATTTACCTTTGTTGGTCGAGCATTTTCATACAAGTTAATACCATTCTCGGTTACATCATGATACACACCTTCGTGATAAAAAAAAACAATTTTCTTTTAGTGTGTACTAGGCATCAC